CTTTCTCTCTCTCTTAGTTGATCAAATAATCTCAAAATCTCTCAAACTTACATTCACTCTCTCACAATCACCTATATTCATTATCTTACCCTCGTCCTTAATATGATCCTCAATATTTCATTTTAAAACTCTTTCTATCTCTTTTTGGTTGCAAAATTTTCATCAGATTTTGTTAAATCTTCTAAACATTTTGACATAATATTAATAAATGATTTCAGAATCTATCTCACTTATATTCAGTCTCTCACTTATATTATTTTTCATTTTCATTATGATCATAACCGACTCTGTAATCCTTATCATCACCATATCTCCCTCTCTTTCTCCCTTTCTTACATATTTTTTATTTTGAATTTAATATAAAATCACAATTGACTAACCAAATAATTTCATTATCAAATTCTCTCCAATCTTCACACTATCTTATCAAACATTGATTTATTTGACCAAGATTTTCATTGAAAAAATAAATATTTTATTATTTATTTTGTTTTTTTTTAATTACTTCATTACATACATATTTTAAGTAAATCTAAATAATTGTATTTCAAAAAAGTAAATTTGATTAAATAATTAACATAAAATATCTTAATTCTTAGCTGATGTGATGTCATTATTTTAGACATAGATTAATATAAACATGAGATTCAACAGTTTTAATATATCAGTATAACATGTTTATAGTTGTATAAATGATGCGATGTGTAACTCACGATACAGAGACATGAGAATAACATTCACTTGGCTGTGGGTCCTGTAATGACTAATTATAGGTATTTACTTGATTACAATATATTTTAGTTTAAAGGGGCTTAACAAAAAGTTTTTAAGTTTATATACTGATTAGTTTTTCCACATATATTGAAATTGAATGAAAACAGAACTAAATCCGAAGCGAAACCAACTTTAGTGAAAATGAATTGAAAACTGTAAATTGATCTAACCCTGTTGAATAATTTTTTTTGCCAGCTAAAGTTTTATTATCTATCTGAAATATATAAAGTCATCACAAAACTATCCCTTATATATTAAAGGAGAAACATTTAAAAAATTGTAACCTCAATTTTGTAATAATTAAAAAAGACTCCATGCTTAGGTGTCACTCAATTAGGTAGTCAGTTACATTCAATTGAAAAATAAGTAGGTCCACATTCGATTTTTATATGTCCCTAGATACATTCGTTGGTCAAATTATCTGATATGATGATATTATGATATGATATTTATGATAGGATTGTTCCTCTAGATATAATTAC